CCATCGCTAGTAGGTTGGAGGCCATCGCTCTTAGGTTGGAGGCCATCAATCTTGGGTTGGAGGCCATCGCTGTTAGGTTGGAGGCCATCGCTAGTAGGTTGGAGGCCATCGCTGTTAGGTTGGAGGCCATCGCTGTTAGGTTGGAGGCCATCGCTGATAGGTTGGAGGCCATCGCTACTAGGTTGGAGGCCATCGCTGTTAGGTTGGAGGCCATGGCTAGTAGGTTGGAGACCATCGCTAGTAGGTTGGAGGCCATGGCTAGTAGGCTGGAGACCATCGCTATTTGGGTGGGAGGCCATGGCTAGTAGGTTGGAGGCCATCGCTATTTGGGTGGGAGGCCATCGCTAGTAGGTTGGAGGCCATCGCTATTTGGGTGGGAGGCCATCGCTAGTAGGTTGGAGGCCATCGCTGTTAGGTTGGAGGCCATTGCTGGGCAGAGCGGCCTTTTGAAAAGTCCTCAAAAAAGTATATTTAGTTTCTTTGTTCCTAGTAGCTTCTTGTTCCTAGTAGTAAGGCCAGTTTCGCCCCGAGAAGTAGCTTCTTGCTCCTAATAGTAGTAGGGCCAGCCAGCCACGCTCCATTCGTGTCCGAACGCTCCGGGATCACCAGCTCCTCCGAGGTGAAGCGACTGGTGCTCGAGCCCGAGGCAGTGGAAGGCCTCGACGGTCCGCCCACGACGAACGGCGGACGTGACGCCTTCGGCGGCCGCTCTGCGCTCGGCAAGACGTGCGGCACGAGATGCGTGTGGGAAGTAGAAGAACACATGGCAATGAGGCGATGTGCTTGCACATCAGGTCTGGGTGAGAGCCAGTGACATCAAGAGCGTCAGAAGAGAATTGGGTGGATCATGGGGTTGATGGTTGCTTTTTTTTTTCAAGCATAACATACCAGCAGTCACAAAGGGGTGCCTATTTCAGGAAGTCGGGGTGCCCAGCTACTCCACTCACGACTTGGGGACGTTTCACACCACCCCGAGCTCTGTGACTCAAGAGGACCAGGCGATGCGGCTTCGTCAAGACGACCAGAATCTCGAGATTTGATGCATTGCAAATGGATCCCAGGGCATCCAGGCAACCCACGAGAGCTCGCTGGGAGTCCCAGTGCAGTGGTTCCAGGCAACGACTAAAACCCTAGACCGGTTCCGAAGGGCCCCTGGTTCCTTAGTACTTGTGGATCCACTGGGATCCACTGGGGATGCGAAAGGCCATGGGGGTGGGCAACCAGAAGCTTCCTAACTTCCTGGTTTGTCGTAGTCGTTTTGCGGCGTCAAGCACACGGGAGTCATCCACTTGCATGGAAGGTGAGTTGGAGTGTACAGTCTTCGGTCAACTTTCGAGTGTTGACCCAGTCATGAAACAGGCAGACTGGGACACAAGAGCGATGTTTTGTTCATGAACAGCGTCTGTCTTTTAGGTGAACACATACCATAATCGGGTTTTTCAAAAGAATCTGAAACGACTGTTTTATCTTTTTGACATGCCTTCTTCCCCAGCTCCAACTCATGTGTCAGGGATCTGCTCTCCCGCCCCGACGTCGCCGCCCGGTTGTCTCGGTTGCCGCACGAGGGTTTTCCACTCAAGGCCGTCCATCGTTCACCTTGGAGGCTCCGAAGGGGAACAAACACCAACACTTCACCCACCTTACTCCCCTGCTATTCGGACCATATGGAACCCCAAAACCACTGGGTTGGTCTTCGGACAATGGTCTTCAAGCACAGTGGTCAATTCTCAGGTTCCATGTTGTTCCCATGTTTCGGTGGCGTAACCCCTTGCCGTCAGAAGTGGTACTATTTCGAAATAAACACCTATGACTCGTGACCAACTGAAACCCAACAAAACGGCAACTACCTACGGGCAGTTCGAGTATCAAAGCAGTTCCATCCACATCCTCTTGGGCTGTCATGTTGCCTGGAACATCCACGAGACCACCTGTGTCCACCTGATTCAAGTCTTTAAGGTCAACCACTGGGCAGGAGTGCCTACTAACAGGGTAGAGGTCGAAACCAACTCCAGAGTCCAAAGTCTATAATACTTAGTTTGTCCTCTTTAAACGATAGTCAAAACCTCAAGCTACATGCTGGATCAGGGCTTCAGGTTTTGATTCATCCCCACATACTAAACTGTGTTGATAAGTCTGGTTAAGTGAATCTATTGGGACTTGCGGAAACGTGGAACCGGAACACATAAGCACTTCAGCCTTGAAGCAGGTCAATACCTCATCAATTGAGAATCCCTCCTAAGCTTTGCTACTGGAAAGTCAAGTTCAACTTTCTGCATGGTTCCTTTTTTTCAATTGTGGTGGTTGGCTCCAAAAGAAAGATACATGAACTTTATATGACTCAGACCAACGAGCCGTTTCCCTGTCAACAAGGCGGTTAGCCCCAAAAAACACGTTCCATCTGTCGGATTTTTTTGTGGGATGTCCCCAATCGCCGGCAAAAAGGTCACATGCAGGCTTGCAGGTGATGGCCTCCAACCTGAGAGCAATGGCCTCCAACCTAGTAGGTCATGCGGAACCTTCTCAGCTGGATCCCCTTCCCTCCCCTTCGACGTTGCCCAGCCGCTGGGCAGGTCCGTTACCTGGACCACGGCTTCCAGCATGGTGTCCTCACGGGTCGGAGGAGGCGCCGGTCGAGCCGGTAGACTCAAACGGAAGAGGTCTTTAGCCGTCTTTCGCAGCTCAAACTCGATCCCAACTGCTAAGGCTAAATGCAATATGTCCCATCATTCCCATGTTATAGTCAGTGGAGTTTCAGAAGTTGGTGCGGTATCGTTCCTGTAGAATTTGATGTTTTCTTTGTGTGTTCTGCGGCCTTTTCCCTTTTCATCTGGCAGATCCTGAGGATCCCATTCCAATTATGTACATCCTTGACTTTCCTGAGTGGTGATATATGAAGTACATGAACGGAGGCCTGGGTGACGGCCCAACTAAGGCGATTGAAGAAAGTCATGCACTGTTGGAAGACTGTGTTAGGTACTGTTCATAGGAAACATCCTGCACCACCTGAGTTGATCTTCCTCTGTGGCGACAGGTCATGAACACCCACCGCCACTACCCTCCGAATAAGGTCCACTGGCGGGTGGGGGGGTGGCTTTGACCCTCCTGACAAGCTCACATACGCAAAGGCAGCCTGTGGAGAGCAAGCAAGTTCCATCCGGCACATGTTACACGTCAAAGCAATGAAACACATGCAGGTACAACAATCCAGTGAAACTGTTTCCTTCAAAGTTGCATTTTTTCTTGGAGACTGACATCATTGGCACATGAAGACTATGATGCAGCATTCTGTTCAAACAAAGCTGCTTGATCTACCATCCCTCCAACATACCTGCCTTTCATGGACCATGAGGCGCCAACCGCATGAACTCAGCAAACTACGTTTGGTCACCGTTGTCTCAATCGATCCGGTTTCTGACATTGTGGGTACATCTCTAGGTGCCTGTCACATGCTTTTTTCTATAGTGACTGTAGTCTCTACTTGAGTGGCAGCCATGTCCTGCATGTCCCCCAACAAAATGAAGAACGAAACATGTGTCCCATGTTACATTGCAAACGTGGATGACACATTCACCGACCTCGACTCGACTGAAAGAGCAGGTCCTCACAAGAAGCCCATGATAGCATAAGCCTTTCAAGGACATGTTGTCCTCAATGTTGAGCTGCAAAGTGAAGCTACTTGGTTGTTTAGTTTGGACACTTGTTCCCGTGGCAAGTAGTAGGGCAATCCAACAAACAGCACTGATCGGTCATGGAGAGACAGGCGTGAACCCACCTGGCGTTCATCCTGTGTTTCAACATGCTCGAGGAGCTCGCGTTGGAAGGCCCCAGTGGAATGTGGTCTACTTCAGGATGTAACATGGAATGTACATTCCATGGATGTACATGTATGTACATGGAATGTAACTCAATGTTTGTACATGTACAAAACTAAATGGAATGTACTAAGATGGATCTTTGTACATGCTGTAACACTGCAAGCCCTCTCATGGCTAAGCGGTTAACGGCGACTTGCTAAAATCCAGTTCGATCTGGCTGGATTTGCCTAGGCCTAGCATTTGACAGGTAAGAACTGTCCAAAGGTTCAACATGCTCCCCTCCAATCATGTTGAACCTCTCCCAGATCCCATGTTTTGTCATAAGAGACAAGTTCAACATGTCTTCCCAGTTATATGTCACAAAAATGAGTTGGAGGTCCTGTATTATGACTGTGAATTCTCTGACGATCAAGAACGGGTGACTAGTACGCAAGCTGCAAGGTTCGTTGTACTTGATGCCAAACCTTGGAAGTGTCATGAAGGGGCTGCACACCATGTCGTAGGTGTGGTCTGTTGTAGGCGCCAAACATGTCTTCAATATTGTTCCATTCAATACAAAGCAGTAGTCTTATCAAAGTACTTCTGAAAACAGGCACTCCAACAGAGTTGATGTCCGCTGTCCGCTTGCTTCCAAGTTCGTGTGATCTCTTGGAACAACTATACCCGGGTAGACTAACATGGACCCTGAAAACCACTGGTTGGTAGAGGAAAACCCTCTTCCAGGGGGTCAGGACGTCAGGGTCTATGTTAGTTTTCTGGTGTGTAGGTGTTATATGGTTTTATGCTCATATTGACTCAATATGCAGAATCCCTAAGCTGGCCCAATTGTCTTGCTGGCCCAGATGTCTTCGGGAGTGTAATCATGCTCAACATTGATGTCTCGAGGAGGTTTTCTGAGATCGAAGACTGGTCGAAGAAGCCCACGGAGGTTTCGTCCGCAAGACTTGTCACCGTCGGTTTGAGTCTCCAAAGTGAGGGAGTCATGAACTACTTTTGCCGTTCTTCAGTCCAAAGGGCATCGCTACTAGTATAGTTAAGTTTTCCCTAAACATCTAGGAACCAAATCATTAGCACCAGCTATCCTGCGTGTCCATACTAGTAGCTTAAGTTAGCTACTAGCTATATATACATAAACCTCCGCGGCCTACCCCTCCCCGCGCGCGCGCGCGCGCGAAAAAGCTACTACTAGCTACCTCTAGCTACTAGCTACCCCTAGCTACCTCCACTCGCGGCCTGCCCCCCTAAACAAAACTAATCATGAACTACATCTGCCGTTCTTCCAAATCCCAAGGGGCCGCATATGGGGGTGACGTATCCGAGTCCCCATTGGTGCATGGACAAACCAACCAGAACTCATAATAAGGGGTCGCGTACTTCGACTAGGAACCACATGGTCCGCAGCAACTGATCAGGATTTTTAGCCGCTCTTGTGATACACAGAGTGCCCCCAAGAACCTCTCTCACAGTGCCGGAGGATCCCTCACGGGTTCAGTGTACTTGCGGTTCACTGCTGCAGTTTCCATGAAAGCCCAGGGAGACACGAAGGGGCCTGACGTCGTCACCACTTGTGACCCTCTGCGTCGCCCGCGAACGTGTCCGTCCTGAACGAGTTGTTTCTTTGCAAAGATCCTTTTCCAAGGTAGTAACAAGGACGCTAAGAAGGTAGCTCCTGGCCATACTACCAGGAGCAAGGAACTGTACTAGGAACAAAGGGCATCGCTACTAGGAACAAGGGCCTTTCTACTAGTAGCAAGAAACTACTAGGTTGAAGGCCAATACTACTAGGAGCAAGGAGTGTTTGGGGCTTTGGAAGCTGAACGATCCAAACGGATTTGCCTGCCCACTCCTTCCCTCTTGTTCCTAGTAGCTTCTTGTTCCTAGTAGTCAGGCCAGGAGCTACTAGTAGCGTCCTTGCTCCTAGTAGCGATGCCCTTCGCTACTAGTAGCTTCTTGTTACTAGTGGACCTACATCTCCCTACTCCAGCTTCTGCCAGATCCTCCTTTTTCTTCCCTTCACGCGGCCGTCGGACACGGCGCCGTGTCTTCGTGTACCGCCTCCAGTCGACGGAAGCGAATTGCCCTTGCAGTCGATCTCAGCGATCGCTCACTCCCCATTGGGTCACGATCCAAGGTCGCAGTGCCGCGACTGGGGGTAAAGATTTAAAGATTACACAATATTACACAGCTCCAGAGCAAAGGGCTTGTTGGAAGCAAACCTGTGAGCAATGATTGAAGCGATCTGGGGACCTGGTGCTTCATCTGCTCGGCTCTATGTTGATGTTCTAAATGCAGCCAAAGAAAGCCCTCTATATGTTCCCAAAGGAGGTGGGTGGACTGGATTTTCATCGTCGTGATGCCCACTTTGCATCGCAAAAGATACAGGATTGGCCAAGATAGACACAGGTGGAAGTAGGTCAAACACCAGGATAACTTGGTTTGTTCATGTTGGTTCGCTACATGGTGGAATGTACAAACAAACGCTATTAGGTTGGAGGCCATTGCTAGTAGGTTGGAGGCCATTGCTATTAGGTTGGAGGCCATTGCTAGTAGGTTGGAGGCCATCGCTATTTGGGTTGGAGGCCATCGCTAGTAGGTTGGAGGCCAT